GGGCAGGGGCGGCCGGAGCCCGTCCGGGCGCAAGGCGACGGCTTCTCGTTCTCCTCCGTGGCCACGATGTCTGGAGGCGGGAGGCCGTGGACGAGGCGGGGAGAAAAGTTGTGAAAATGATCGTGTCACCGCCCGGCCGGCGCGGCCCAGGGGTTGAGGGTCAACCTATGACCCTGGAGGCTGCGGTTCGATTCCCCCGGCCAACGATGTCTTATCTCCTTTCCTGCTCAGGGATCGGGGTCGCTCCTCAGAACTGAGGCCCGTGGTCACGGGCCCCGGCCGGGCTGTCCTTCCTCCAGGCCCTGGCTCCCCAGGCCAGCAGGGCACCCGAGCCCTCGGATCTATCGCTCACGGGCTCCGTAACCGTGGGCGAGTGACCAGATCTCTCCCCGCCTCAGTTCCCTCCCTGTGAAATGGGAACAACGCCTTCCGTCGCGGGCGATGCCCTAGGAAATGCAACCTCGCTCTTGTGGCTTCTTTTTATTCTTTTTAAAAATATTTTTTTTTTATTTCAGAGAGAGACATCCATGATGAGAGGGAATCATGGACCGGCTGCCTCCTGCACGCCCCACACTGGGGATCGAGCCCGCGACCCGGGCATGTGCCCTGACCGGGAATCGAACCCTGACCTCCTGGTTCCTGGGTCGACGCTCAGCCCCTGAGCCACGCCGGCCGGGCTCCCAGGCTTGTTTTTCTTACTGCCCAGCGCCCGCCCGGGCCTCACCGGTCCCGATGTAGTAGCAGGTCTTGTGCATCTTGCCCTTGAAGAGCTCGAGGCCGATGATGGCGTAGATGATGACCATGAAGAGGACCAGCAGTGCGATGTGGAACAGCGGCAGCATGGCCTTGAAGATGGAGTTGAGCACCACCTGCAGGCCTGGGGGGCGGGAAGTGGGGGGACACACAGAACAAGGGTCAGCGCCCCGCGGTCTCCCCCCCGCTCTCCACACCCCGGAACCCTCTGGGACACCCAGGTAGGAGGAGGACCCAGAACCGAGCCCCGGGAACCCCCGGGGGGGGGGGGGGGTCAGGTGAGCGCAGGCCCAGTGCCGGGGACCCTGGGCGCCCCCTCTGTGCTCAGGGGCAGGTACGGTTTGCCCACGGCTAACGCTGACTCATAATGTAACATGGGGGCAGGGGGGAGAGAGAGAGAGGAACATCACGTGAGAGAGACACATCCGTTGGTTGCCTCCTGCATGAACCCTGACCGGGGCTGGGATGGAGCCTGCAACCCAGGTACGTGCCCTTGGCCAGAATCGAACGCGGGACCCTTCAGTCCGTGGGCCGATGCTCCAACCACTGAGCCACACCAGCTGGGGCTGGGTCCGAGCGGCGCCTCCTGCCAGGGCCTGTCCCTCCCGTCCCTGGCCTCCTCGTGTCTCTCTCTCTCTATGGTCAGACTTCACTGTCCAATAGCCTTTGAAATCCACCCCAAGTCCTCCCTTACGAAACCTGCTTTGAACGCCAAACCCTTGGACCCACTGTGCGGGGGACAGCCGAGCCCCCGGACCCACTGTGCGGGGGACAGCCGAACCCCCGGACCCACTGTGCGGGGACAGGCTGAACCCCCGGACCCACTGTGCGGGGGACAGCTGAACCCCCGGACCCACTGTGCGGGGGACAGCTGAACCCCCGGACCCACTGTGCGGGGGACAGCTGAACCCCCGGACCCACTGTGCGGGGGACAGCTGAACCCCCGGACCCACTGTGCGGGGGACAGCTGAACCCCCGGACCCACTGTGCGGGGACAGCCGAACCCCCGGACCCACTGTGCGGGGGACAGCTGAACCCCCGGACCCACTGTGCGGGGACAGCCGAACCCCCGGACCCACTGTGCGGGGGACAGCTGAACCCCCGGACCCACTGTGCGGGGACAGCCGAACCCCCGGACCCACTGTGCGGGGGACAGCTGAACCCCCGGACCCACTGTGCGGGGACAGCCGAACCCCCGGACCCACTGTGCGGGGGACAGCTGAACCCCCGGACCCACTGTGCGGGGACAGCCGAACCCCCGGACCCACTGTGCGGGGGACAGCTGAACCCCCGGACCCACTGTGCGGGGACAGCCGAACCCCCGGACCCACTGTGCGGGGGACAGCTGAACCCCCGGACCCACTGTGCGGGGACAGCCGAACCCCCGGACCCACTGTGCGGGGGACAGCTGAACCCCCGGACCCACTGTGCGGGGACAGCCGAACCCCCGGACCCACTGTGCGGGGGACAGCTGAACCCCCGGACCCACTGTGCGGGGACAGCCGAACCCCCGGACCCACTGTGCGGGGGACAGCTGAACCCCCGGACCCACTGTGCGGGGACAGCCGAACCCCCGGACCCACTGTGCGGGGGACAGCTGAACCCCCGGACCCACTGTGCGGGGACAGCCGAACCCCCGGACCCACTGTGCGGGGGACAGCTGAACCCCCGGACCCACTGTGCGGGGACAGCCGAACCCCCGGACCCACTGGGCCTCACCCCAGGAAGACAATGATGAAGTCCAGCACGTTCCAGCCGCTGCGCAGGTAGGCGTCCGGGTGGAAGAGGAAGCCGTAGGCGATGATCTTCATGGCGGCCTCGACGGAGAAGACGATGAGGAAGAAGTATTCCAGCTTCTCCTGCGGGGGCGAGAGCGGCCGTGTCTCCTCTGAGCGTCCCCAGCGCACGCTGCCCTTCCCTCCCCAGGCACACTGTTCCCAGCGGCCTCAGGACCTCGGCACCTGCCTGAATTGCCTCCTCCGTCCCCCACCTCCCGGCCACACACAGGCCGGGCCGGCCCCTCGTGGCCCTCGGGCCTCCCTCGGGAGTCATCCCTCCCCAGGCCTCTGCTCACATTCATGTCTTTTTCCCTCTGTTCGCCTGGACCCGTCGCTAAAATAAATCCCCAGGCCCGTTTCTATCCCGTTGGCCTTCACTCCTACCCACTGAACGATCAACTCTGTGAAGTGTGGGGACTGTTCGTTTTTTGTTTGTTTGTTTTTTTCTTCTTCTGCCGGGGTCCAGAACTAAGTGAGTCATCTGGAGCCGGGGTGGGGAACCTCCGGCCCGCGGGCCCTAGAAGGCCGGTGAAATCAGTTGGTCTGACTCTGCCAAGGTGAGGGGTGAGTTCACTATGTGGTTGACCACATACAGCGTGGCTCCGTGGGTGAGCCTAGGAACCAGGAGGTCACGGTTCGATTCCCGGTCGGGGCACATGCCCGGGTTGCAGGCTCGATCCCCAGTGGGGGGCGTGCAGGAGGCAGCCGGTCCATGGTTCTCATCATCCATGTTCCTCTCTCCCTCTCCCTTCCTCTCTCTGAAATCAATACAAATATATTATTAATAATAAAAGAATATACAGAGCTTTCGTAACAAAAAAGGGGGGGGACACGGTCCCAGAATCCACCCGACATGCTCTTCAGAGCCGTTCCCTGGAAGGGGTGGGGGTGAGCCTGCTGCCCCGGCCGCACCGCCCACAGGTGTCCGGGCCCCGCCTGGGTCTCCGTGGCCACCTCAGCCTCCAGGTTTGGAAGATGAGCCGCTGGGGATGAGGGAAGCGGCTATATTTAGCCCGATGGACTCCAGCTCCAAAGCCAAGGCCTGACCGGGTGAGCCCTGTCTCCTGCCCCCACCTCACCCCAGGCCTGGGCTGGGGACCTGTGGGGGGTG